CCGCCTTCCCCGGGGTCCCGAGCCTGCCCCGCCACGGGAGCCGGTGCGCCGGGGTGAGGCGGGCCCTGCCTGGTCTGCTGCTCTGTTCTGAAGGCGGCTGGCGCCCCTGGGGGGCTGCCGAGGACAGTGACGAGACCCTCGGGGAGGAGCAGGAATATGGGGTTCCTCCCCCAAACCATTGCCAGAGACAATGGAGCCACACCCTGGTCTGGACCCGCGCCCAGAGCTGCCGAGCCTGCGGGGTGCCGGGCGGCCCGGAGACAGCGCCCGTTGCCGGACCGAGCCGGTTTCTCTCACAGCCCATCCAGATTATCAACAGCACCATCGAGATGGTGAAACCGGGGAAGTTTCCCAGTGGCAAAACAGAAATCCCCTTTGAGTTTCCTCTGCACGTGAAGGGCAACAAGGTGCTGTACGAGACGTACCACGGCGTGTTCGTCAACATCCAGGTGCGTGGCCGGGTCACCCAGACCGGCTCTGCCCGGCGGCGCCGTCCTCGGGCAAAGCTGAGGACAAAGCGCGGTGGAGGGCGGCCTCCGGGCCCTGTCTGGCTGCGCCCCCAGGGTTGCACCTCCCTGGCCGCTGCTGGGGCAGATGCGCCCTGCTCAGGCCACCCGGCCGCTGCCCGAGGCCAAAGCTGTTCAGCCCGAGGCGCCGCTTGCACGGCGCACACCCTGCAGACCTGGCCTTGTGGGGGAGGCGGGCTTACGGCCTCCTGTCCGCCCCTCACTGCCGAGCCCCGACTGCTGCTATTGCTGCCTCAGGCCTGACGGGGTGGGGGGGAGCAGGGGGGAGCCTGGGGGGGCGCTGCCCTCGCCAGGGAGAGCCAGGCCTCGTGAGACCGCGTGGCTTACCCCTCTGCGCAGACGGGCGCACGACGGTGGTCTTTATTAGCCATTTTTAAAGTTTTAGCTGAAGTTTGGTCTTGAGAGATGGCGCCCTTCTCGGGTGCGGCACTTTGACAATAAAAATCCGCCAACGGGGGAACTTGCACGTGGCCTGTGTGCGTTCCCACAGCTCTGTCAGCACACGCGGTGTCACCTGCCGCAGGTCACTCAAATGCGTTTCTCCTCCACCTCCCTCCAGTACACCGTGCGCTGCGACGTGAGGCGGTCTCTGCTGGCCAAGGACCTGACCAAGACCTGCGAGTTCATCGTGCACTCTGCGGTAAGCGCCCGCTCGCGCCTCGGCGGGGCCTGCTGTGGGGTCTGGGCGTGGCCTCCCGTTGGCCGCCTCACCGTCAGGTCAGGGCCTCAGGTCAGGGCCACTGGGGCAGACTCGAGGCCCCGGGAGGCCCCGGGGTGGGGACGCTGGGCACACCCAGCAGCACGGGCGTTAGACGTGCCCCGTGCTGGCCCAGAGTTCCCGGGGGGCACTGAAGAAGGAACCCTCATTTACTGTTGGGGGATGAAGATGGTGCCGCACCCACAGAAAACTAAATGGAGAGTCCTGAACACCTGCAGACGGCGGCAGCAACAGCCCAGCAGTGCCGCCCCCAGGCGGAAAGGTGTCTGCGCGCCCCCAGCCCCGGCTGGCGCAGGGAGCCGACCCCGCCCGTGGGGGGCTGCGGAGAGGCTGCGTCTGCGCACTCAGTGGGCGCCGCGCGGCATTAAGAGAGAAGGCTGGTGCCTGCGGGGACAGCACGGGGACAGCACCTGCTGCCCAGGTGACCTCAGAAAGTGAAAGACAGTTGCCTGATGGTTCTCATGCAATATAAATAACCAAAGAAATGGACTAACAAGGAACAACAAAAATTAACTAAATTTCAGAAACCCTTTATGCCTATGATTCAGTGAGAGATCATTGCAATACTGACCTACTTTTTAAAATGTCAGAATATTAAATAACATTTGAAAAATGGAAAGGGTTATACTAAACTTGATATCAGAGTGTTAAAAGAGACAAAATATGTAGTACCAAGGACAGCTGAAAGGAAAAACCCATCATCGAACTCTGGTGTATGTGCAGAGACACGTGCTTGTTGCACGTCTCTGCGTGTGGATTAGTGTGTGACGGGGACACTGCAGGTCACAGCCGGGGGCTCTCGGACTCGGGCGGCACGGTGATTGGGGGGGCGGGGGGCAGCGCCGAGCGCGGCCCTGAAACCTTCACGGCCGGTGACTCAGTTTGCTGGATTAAAAGAAAGTTCGTGAATGAGGTCTGCAGCCCCGCTGCCCTGTGGTCGGCGAGTCAAAGGCCGAGGACCTGCGGGAGGGCGGGTGCGCCTTTGGCAGCGACCTGTTAGTAAGTTCCCTGAGAGCGCGCGGCGTCAGCCTTCCTGCGGCGGCGGCGGGAGACCACGCGCCGGGCGGGGTCCTTGTTCCGGCCAGGCACGGGAAGGCGCGGCTCCCCTGGGGGACCCCTGCTCTCCCACCCGCCTGAGCAAGTCCTGGTGGCGCCTGCCTTCGCCTGTGAGGTGGGCTGCAGGCTGGCAACGGCCGAGCCTCAGTGCCCGCCGGGACACACTGGCGTCCCCTCTCCCCACCAAAGGGCGTAAACTCCCAGTAATTCTAGTCTGTGTCGTGGGTCTGCTTTTTAAGTTCTGGACCTGAAAGGGGGCTTAGAGATCAAGAAGTCTGGCCCCTCGCTTACAGATGAAGAGCCTGGGGCGCAGGCGTGAAGAAACTGGAGCGCAGTTCTGGCAGCGTCCCGAGCGCTTCCCCTGGGGCTCCCAGGCCCGGCCCTGCGCTCGGGTCTCCCTGCCAGAGTCGGCAGCGGGCCAGACTCCCAGCGGCTGACTGGCCTCCCTCCTGTTGCAGCCTCAGAAGGGGAAACTGACCCCGAGCCCCGTGGACTTCACCATCACCCCGGAAACCTTACAGAACGTCAAAGAGGTGAGGCCCAGGCTCCCTGCGGGCGCCTTTCCTTAGCACAGACCCCGGCTTCCGCCAGCTGCCCGCTGTTGCCGTCGGGGAGGACGGCCGGAATTCCTGCGTTGTCTGCACCCAGATCCTTCTATTTCCAATTCCGATTCCCTCTAAAGCTGGGTAACTATTTAGTGGAACGCTTTCCGGAAGTTTCTCTGGAGGCTGCGTGTTTATCATGCACCACCTGCTCGTGCTTGACGGCCCGTGGTCGCGGGCACTTCCTTGAGCCCAGTCACAGCCCCCGCCCGCCCCGGCCGCCGCTCTGGGGACAGACCGGAGCGTGCCTGTCTGGGGACCGCACAGGGCTGGCCAGCAGGGTGTGTCCACTGGGCGTCTCCAGGGGCTGGATTTTCCGGCAGGAGTAAGAACCTTGGCTGGATGCTTGCAGGGAGGAGGGTGGGGGCGCTGGCTGCTCCCCTCCGCACCCCACTCAGGGCCGCTCAGCCGGCAGGGCCCTTCTGAAGCTGGTCAGGACACGTTTGCAGTCCCCACTTGAGAAGGCTCAGAATGATTACACAAAATCGGTAACAAGAGGCGAGAAGAGCTGAGCAGGAAGAGCAGCCCCGCAGGACCGGAGGCCCCGCTGCGGTGGGGTTCACGCCTGGTCCCCAGCTCCCCGCGTGCTGGCTGGTCCCCTCTGGGTCTTCAGCCTGGATGCTCTGGCTGTGAGCGGGTTCACTTTCCTTTTCATCCCGTCAGCTCGCCTCAAATGTGCAGACCGGCGCTCCAGTGCAGGCCGCGGCCCTCTCCCGTCACCTCCCTGCTCCGTGGCAGCGTCTGCGCCCACGCTCCAGCTGCCCGCAGACCTTTCTCTCCCGCTGGTCGGGGCTGCGGCGGCGCAGCGGGGTCCAGCTGCGGCTGGACGTGCGTCCGCGGTCACTGCTCGCCGCTCCTGTTTCTTCTTTCCGTTTCACGCTCTGCGTGAGCGCCGAAGTCGCGGGTGCCGGGGAAACAGCTGGCCGTGCTGTGCACACCTGAGCCCCCCTTTGGGTAGGAGATCCCAGGGCTGGCGTCGCCTGCCCTTCGAGAACACCCGGTTGTCGGGGCCGGATGCTGGCACATCCCGGTTCTCAGAGTCGCCTGAGCTGATCTCTTCTGCTCCCTCCCCCACCCCTTGCGCTCTGAGTTCAGGGTGCCCGCCTGGCCCCTGGCCTCTGACTCCGGGACCCTTAGGAACCCTTCGCCTCCCGCCGCCGTCACCCCTCAGCTGGCCCCTCGGCTGGGCCTGGAGCTCACTGGCGCGCCCTGCAGGCAGCATGGGCCCGAGCGGGACCGGTGGCGGGAGCAGTCGGGTGTCAGGTGGCCTCTGCCTGCCCTGTCTTCAGGGGCTGCTCTGTCGCCCAGGTGGCTCTTGCTTTTATCTCCTCAGGGTTTCTGGCTCCAGGCTGAAGCCTTCCTCACCCCGCTGTCTCCCCTTCGCTGTGTGAACCTGGCCATGCTCCCGGCGCAGGCCGGGCCTGGGGGCGTCCCCGGGTGGGGGGCGCCGGGCGCCGGTCTTCCAGGTCTAGCAGCTCAAACCCTGGCACTTACCCACCTGCTTTGGGGTCACCTCCGTGGCAGTCCCGGAGAGAAGCTGCGTCCGCCTCCCTCACCGCGCTGCCCCCCCCAACTCCCCTCTCCAGCGCAGGGCCGAGGCTCGGGTGGCCAGGCCAGTGGGCGTGGGCCCAGCCGCCGCGTGGTCAGCGTCACCCTGGATGGGGGAGCGCTGCCTGCTGACGCTGGAGACGGGCCCCGAGTCTGGTGTTGAGGGGCGCTGCTGTGTCTTACTTTCCTGACCAGATCACGTCCTCTGAATGACTCAGATTTCTCTCTTAAATCAACACGTCTCCAGGGTCTTTGCCCCTTGGGGCCGCCAGGCAGAGGCTTCCTGCCCCGCAGTGCTGGCCGGGGCTGTCCGGCCAGTGCCGCTGGACCCGGCGGACATGAGCTGAACAGCGTGCAGCAGCTGGATGCCAGGCTCGCTGAGAGGCCGTGCACGCAGCATTCGGGACATTCTGATGGCAGTTAGATGTGGGAGGAGTGTCGGGGTACACTGATGGATTCTGAGGCGCTGTTTGCTTTTTAAAGTCGCACTGCTCTTGTGGCTTGCCTGCTCCTGGGGATGGTGCCCGGGGGGCGGGGGGCCCGGGCGGGGAATGCAGCCTGCCGATTCTAGAGGCGCCGTGGGTCCCGTACCTCCCCCGGCCCCACTCTGTAAAGTTCCCGGGCTTTTATGAAAATGACCCCATTTTGTCTCCAGTGGACCAAACCGACGATCGAGTAATTCCCCAGGCACCTCCGTCCCGACTCCCGTTCCTGTTTGGTTTCAGAGAGCCTTGCTCCCCAAGTTTCTCATCCGAGGTCATCTCAACTCCACGAACTGTGTGATCACGCAGCCCCTGACCGGGGAGTTGGTGGTGGAGAGCTCGGAGGCCGCCATCCGGAGCATAGAGCTGCAGCTGGTCCGCGTGGAGACCTGTGGTGAGGGCCCTCGGGGAGGTGGGGAGCGCCGGGGGCGGGGGCAGTGCTGGGGGGGTGCAGTTCTCCCCGGCGCGGGTCTGTCAGGTCCACCGGACTCTGACCCCGTCCTGCTTGCCCCCTCCCCAGGGTGCGCCGAGGGCTACGCTCGGGACGCCACGGAGATCCAGAACATTCAGATCGCCGACGGGGACGTGTGTCGGGGCCTCTCCATCCCCATATACATGGTCTTCCCCCGGCTGTTCACCTGCCCCACGCTGGAGACCACCAACTTCAAAGTGGGTAAGCGCTGCTCAGCCCTCGG